GTTTTGAGAATGATGAGGGCAATGAATGTACAAATGTGCTTTACACAATTGATGTATGTATGGATTGTGATAAGAGTTGTAGGTACCCCTAACAAAAAAAAATTTTTTTTTTAAAGCCGTTTTTCTGCCACAGAACGGCAGGTAGTTTCAAACTGCTGACTTGTGAATTGCAGCCCAATGGCGTACATATGCCACAAGGGCTCCTTCCTACCCAAACAGGGTTCTGTTAAAGTCTCCATCTTCTCTTGTCTGGAGTACCCCACATTGCTGGTCTGTTTTCCATCTTTCCCAATTCTCCAAGGTCATACAGCCTTTCAAAAGCCCACTTTTCATCCCTTTGCATTTATGCGAGACCTACGTTAATGCTGGTGGCATAGTGGGTTACACATTAGGTTGCTAGTCGTTAAGGCCAGCAGTTCGAAACCACCAGTCACTCCTTGGGAGAAAACAGAGGCTTTCTGCTCCCATAAATAGTTAACAGTCTCTGAAACCCACGGGAGGGCAGTGTGGGGTGTTCTACTCTGTCCTATAGGGTCTCTAGGGGCCCGAATTGAATTGATGACCGTGAGTTGGCAGACTTGTTTTTTTGTTTTGTGTTTCACATTAGTACTTGGTTTTTGCAAACTGCAAGGAATCAGAAGAGAATTTTTAACTTTTATGAATAAAGAGGGAAGGAGTAACTAACATTCCGTGTTTGTTTTGCAGGGAGTGTCACAGAGGCAGTGCACCTGAACTGTGAGAGGTGTGTCACCAGGCCTTTTGGGGAACCACACACAGCATCTCAGCGTCAAGCTGCTAGAGGTTTGAGCTGTGTCTCTGAAAACCAGACAAAACAAAACCTCACTGCCACCAAGTCTCTTTCGACTCGTCGCAACTCTACAGGGTTGAGTAGAACTGCCCTTGTGGGTCCAAGACGGTACCTCTCTATGGGAGGAGAAAGTCTCAGGTGGCAGCCCTTGGGGTTAGTAGCCCAACAGGTAACACACTATGTCGCCAAGGCTCCATAGCACTGTGCGTGGCATAGAGTGTTATTTTACATCTTGGCAGGTTCTCTTTTGCATCTGGGAACGGTCCTCCTTCCAGCAGGCTAGCATGCAGATGGACGGTGACATGCCCTACGGATGGCTGAGCAAGACCACACAGCCTGTAGCCCTGAGGGCTTGATGGAGCAGAATCATCTGGCCAGCCCCCCTCCAGACTTTTCCTTGAAGAACAACCAGATCGAGTCGATCCCAACTCATGGCAACTCTGCAAGACAGAGCAGAAGTGCCCCGTAGGGTTTCCAAGACTGTCCAACTTCATGGGAGTGAACAGCCTCCTCTTTTCCTTGCAGAGTGGCTGGGGGCTTCCAACCACTGACCTCATGGCTCGCAACCGAGTGCTTAACCACAGTGCCACCAGGGCTCCTTCCAGCTTGTCTAAGCCACTATGATTTTAGGTGTTTCTGTTCGTCACAGATGAGCTCAAGGCAGCAAACCTAATCCAACCGAGCATAAAGACCACATGAGGGCTCTTCTGAAGACCCGCATGGATCCCATCCCACATAGCACCCAACAAATGAAAATGCACCGTGTCCCACATTAAGTATAATTTGTAAATAACTCTACAAGGCCAGCCGAGGTCCGGGCCTGTAGTTAGTATACGTTGGCTCTGTAGATAGTTAGACACTCGTGACTTTAATTATGCAGTGTTCACTTTGTATTTTGGAGCCAATTAGTTTGCTTTTCCAGCTCTAAATTGTCTCCACAAGACCTTAAAAAGGCTTCAGGACCTAGGTGTCAGACCTGTGAGCCAAATGGAGGAACAGGCCCTGCGGCCAGTTGATTTCTTTGTCTCCAAAAACATTCCCCCACCCCACCCCACCCCTAGTATCACCACCCTCCAACTCCCCCCAGCCCCACCACAGGCTAAAAGGCTGTGTCTCCTTGGGGTCCACCCTGCCCCCAACTTAAAGCTCAGTCCCCTGAACTTTGCAAACAAGGCCTCATGCTCCAGCCTCTGCCACCTCCCACCTTCACCTCCCCTCTCTCTTCCTGGGTCCCCGCTACAGGATCCGTTTGTAGCGAGCACATACCCTGGGCACACCAAGGAACTCCTCACATACCCTCCGCCTGTAGGCCACCCACCGCAGTTTGCTGCCCATTTACCAAATGCCAAAGCACCTTTTAAAGCTCCCCTGGAGCCAGCCTCCCCGACTTGCCCGGACAGGCTCTTTATGGCCTGTGTCCTATATATCCAAGGTTTGCCCTTCCTCCATCTCCTGTCTGCCCCCACCCCTTGCACACACTGTGACTGGTGAGACAGATAGCTCTGAAGTTGGAGGCTGTGGTGTTTGTGCCTTGATTCCACCCCCTGCCCACCCCCCACCCCCCACCTCCCCGGCTTCTCACTCAGGGCCTGACACATGGCAGTTTGAAGAATGAATTTGGGCAATATGGGAAAGCTTCTTACTCTAAAAAAATCCCACTGCCTGTAAGTCAATTCCAACTGTAAATCTTCACAGGAGTAGAAAGCCTCATCTTTCTCCTGTGGAGCAATTAGTAGTTTCAAACTACTGGCCTGTGGTTAGCAGTCCTATGCGTAACCCAGTACCCCACCAGGGCTTCTTGGGGTGGCTCAGTTCATTCATTGGAAAAGCCGAGCTCAGTCCTGCCTCTGTCAGGATGCCTTCTAGACACCTCCAGCTTCCCTGGGCCTCTTGCTGTCCTAATCACACCACACACTTCCTCAAAGCTCAAAGCCACGGCTGACAGGGTGGAAGGGGCCTTCGAAGACATCTGGTCCAACCTCTCACAGAGGAGAAACTGAGGCCCAGAGAGTTGAAGAGGCTTAACTCCTCAGTGCAGCATGCTGGGGTGTGTGTGTGTGCACACAGTAAACACTCAATAAACATTAACCACGGTGGTTCCATTAGTGTAGTTTATTATGATTGGAGTGAAGACCTATATAGTCCGGACAGGAGAGAGACAAGGCTTTCTACTCCCGTCAAGAGTTACCATCTCGGAAACCCACAAGGGCGGTCCTTCTCTGTCCGCTAGGGTCGCTGTGGGCTGGCATCGCCTCGATGGCAGTGCGGTTTGTCATTGTGATATAGGGCGGGCCCAGCCAACCCGCCTCTGTGCATCTGCACTTGCGGATGGCTGGGTCAGCACAGCTTCTCTCCCGCCTTCCCTTGTTGCCTGTCAGCCAGTAAAATCCTGCCCTCCCTCACACGTCACACTACACATCCCTCCTTCCAGGACGCTTTCTGGACTTTCATGTGTTGTCGTTTACAACGCGATATTGATTTATGAGATGATCTCAAGAGTGTTTGTCTTCCCACTAAATTCAGGGAGGCCAGAAGTCTGTTTGGCCCGCTGCTGTATCCCAGTACCTAGCAGCACAGCCAAACCAAACACTGCTATCGCGTTGATGCTCTCCTGCAGAACAGGGTGGACCTGCCCCTGTGAGTTTCTGAGACTGTATGCAACTCATTACAGGAGTAGAGAGCACTGTCTTTCTCCAGAGGAGCAACATATGGTTTCGAACTCCTGACCTTGCAGTTAGCAGCCCAAAGCATAACCACTGCACCACAGGGCTGCACAGCACAGAACCTGGTATATAGCAGAAGTTCAATCACAGTGTTGGGCCTGGACACACAGGGTCTTCCTCAAGCTGGTCCCTCCCCCAAGCTGCTGCTCCCACCTCCCACCCACTGCCCCCAGGTCCCTCCAGTCACCCTCTTACCCACCTGTCTCCGAGGAGATGTTGACCTCGACACTGAGGTCAGGCACAGGCGCCCCAGGGAAGGAAGCCACGCACAGGTAGGTCCCGTAGTCACTGAAGTGCAGGTCAATGAGCTCCAGGCTGCTGGTGACTGCAGGCAACTCCGGGTCGTTGCGAGTCACTATCAGCCGCTTGGACATGCGTGCCGGCTTGCCATTCTTGAACCACTGGTAGGTGACCTTCTCCTGGGGCACAGCGTCCACGTGGCAGGACAGCTTCAGGTCTTGGCCCAGCTGTATGTTCTCGCTCTCTTTGATCACGTCAGGGGTGATCTGGAACGTGGCATTCTTCATGGCTACGGGTGGGTGGGAGGGCAGGGTGGCTGGGGCTGACCTGAAGCCAGAGGGTCCTGTCTCGTCTACTCAGACCCCGTTCCTCCCCTCAAGCTAGCCCTCTGGTGACTGGGGGCTACAAGCTCCCAGGAGAAACCACGCCTTTTCTCTTTGGGAGAAAGCACTCCGCTCGGTCAGAATGTTCTTAAAAGTTCAAGACAAGCCCACTGCAGGACAGACAGTTCACTAACAGTCATCATAATAAAGCCTAGCCCACTACCATAGAGGGTTTTCTGACTCATAGCAACCCTATAGAACAGAGTAGAACTGCCCCTGTGGGTTTCCAAATGCGCACATCTTATGGGAGCAGAAAGCCTCGTCTTTCTCCCAAGGAGTGGTTCCTAGATTCAAACGGCTGACCTTGCAGTTCACAGCTGAACCAATAACCCACGACACCACTAATAGCTTCTAGTTACTGACTATAAGGAGTCTTGGGGGTGTAGTGGTTAAGAGTTCAGTTTCTCACCAAATAGCTGGTGGTTCGAATCCATCAGTGACTGCAGGGGAAAAGGCCTGGCCACCTGCTTCCACAAAAGATTAGAGCTCAGGAGGGAACTCGTATTGTCCCCATTTTACAGGGGAATGACCGGAGTTCACACAGGTCACTTTGCCCAGGGAATAGTCAGCCTTGAATGCAAAGTCAGAGTCTGCCTGGACCCACTCCCCTCCTTTTTACAGGGGCTGCCTCGGACTTTGAATACCCAAAGCGAAACTTGGCAGCGTGTTCCTGAACCATCCAGCGTTCTATCGAGAGAGTGGGGCTGAGGGACACTGAAGGGTGATTTTCATGTTCACATTTTATCCTTTGGGGCTCTTTCGCTCTCTGCAGCCAGTCTGGGTGATTTTTATATAACAGACCAATGCGGTCATTTTGTATGCTATTAGATTAAAAACATGGAGCTTTAAAAAGGAGGGGAAAAGGGGGGGGGCTGGCCTCTTTAAAAAACGGAATCTTGTTTGAAGTAAGCCAAGAGTTAGGTGGATCCTTAGTAGGTGGGGTGCCAAAAATAGGCATAAACCAAGACTGCGCTGGCCCCCAAACACCAAAACCAAACTGATTCATAACGACCCTATAGGACAGGATAGAACTGCCCCTGTGGGATTCCTAGGCTGTAAATCTTTACAGGAGTAGAAAATAACATCTTTCTCCCTCAAAGCGGCTGGTGGTTTCAAACTGCTGACCTTGCAGTTAGCAGCCCAGCTAGTAACCACTATGCCACCAGGGCTCCTTGCACTGACCCAAGCAGAGCAGGCTGTAAAACCATGCTAAGAGGTGACCAGAAACACCCACACCAAAACCCACTGTGATCTGATTCCCAGTGACCCTGGACGATGGAGGAGAAGGCCCCCATGGGGTATCCAGGCTGTGTCTCTTTATGGGCCCAGACTGTCTCATCTTTCTCTTACTGTGTGGTTGGTGTGTTCAAACCCCTCACCCGCCTGTTAGTAGCCCAAAGCTTCACTCGATGAGCACCCACGCCCCTTTATATGTACGTACATCTATACTTGATATACACTGAGATCTTTCACCAACCTAGAATTTAAAAATCAAATGGAACCAGGTGGGGATACAATCATCTTCTGATAAGATCGGAACGATCAGAGGAAAAAGCAATCACTCCACAGCCATACTCTTTCTCACTCTGATTAAGTAAAAAGACAGAGCGAATTTCTGTCGGTGGGGAAAAGCAGAGGGTGACTGGTCAGTGAGAGACAAAGAAGAAAACCTGTATCATTGGGAGGACTTGCCAGGGGGTTGACAGAAGGTGCAGTTTATACTTCACGCGCTCAGCACTGGACACAAGGCTGGATCACTTAAAAAACTAATAATACCAAAGCAGCCCTGGTGGAAAAAAACACTAATAATATCAATCAAAGCTGCACAAGTACAAGGATGTAAAGTTTTCTCTTCAAAACAGCGGCCAAATCAAGATCATCTGGAGCAACTAATGATAACTGCCGAGGCTGAGGGTTAGTATGAAGAACATCTTTCCTTAGACCATGCTCCCAATTTGGTATCCATTTTACATTTAGTCATTATCTTTGAAGTAAGTAGAATACTTTGCTCATAAAGTTTTACAGACAAGGCACAGGGAAGTGTGTGAGCCTCACTTTAATCAGGGTACGTTATTATGTAGACACGATCGTGCAGGGAGGAGGCAGAGTCATTGGCTTGAAGACTGAAATCTCCACATTTAGCTCTTCACAGCCTCAATTTCCCACTCTAAAACAACAACAAAATGTGGGTAATCAAAACCAGCCCTTCCTGCTACTTGGATTGTTGAGGTGATATTTGAAAATATAGATGATAAACAGCAAATAGAGTTTTACACCGATTTTAGTCTTGTGCCACCTGATGGCAGGCATCTGAATTGCAGGGAAAGCGAGGTGCCTGGACCGTGCCTCCTGGGTATTTCTTACGTGCTAAAGGGAAGCAGACAGGGCCGGTCTCCCATTTCATGGGGAGTTCTTTGAGGCCCAGGGACCCGGTACCGCTGCCTCCAGAGCCCCCACCCACCCCTCCAGTGACCACGTACATCGCACCAGCAGGTTGACGGTCTTCTTGGCGGGGTTGCCCACGTTGTTGGTAGCCGTGCAGTTGTAGTAGCCAGAGTCCCGGGCATGCACTGAAGGGATGCTGAGGGTGCCACCCTGGGCCAATGCACCCAGAGGCAGGGGGCCAGGCCCATGGGACCACTGCAGCTGGGGTAGAGGATCACCCCCCGTCAGCAGACACTGCACTGTCACATTCTCCCCAGGGTTCACCACCAGGGTTTCGTTCACAGACAACTTCAAGGCCGGTGGTGCTAAGAGGAAAAGAGGTGGGCTGTTAGGGAACCCTGAGGCAGGGTGACTGGAGGGGAGATGAGGATGGTGGGAGGACCATGGGGCTGGGGAAGCCCTGGGTGAGGGCAAGAGGGGACGGTGAGGAGCAGACAAGCACTAGGGAGAAAGGGGGGCCCAAGCACACTAGTGGTGATGTGCCTAGGGTCCTGTGTGGGGTGGGCATTGTCTCCTGGCTGGGCAAGGTGGGCAAAGGGTCTGGGAAGTGCCTGTACCCGTGGTGTTGGTGAGCCGAAAGGTGATGGCTTTGTCCGGGATACCACACACATTGCGGACAGACACCTGGCAGGTGTAGCTGGCATAGTCCTGTGGCCGCAGGTTCTTCAGCTTCAGGACCTTAGTCTCCCCCTGGACAGCAGTGGACCACTGGAGTAAGGGGCCTGCTTGAGCCTCCAGGGGCCCTACACAGTCATTCACTCAGCAGCAGAGGCTAAAAGCAGGTCTGAATTACCATTCCTTCCTTCTCAATCCCTACTCACCCCCCTCCCTTGCCCCCGGACCTGGGACCCTAGGGTGGAACTCGGAGGACATAGGGAAGGGATCTTGTTCTGTTTCTGACTCCAGACACACATGAGGCTGCCCACCAGGCACAGAAAGTCATCTCACAAGCCTTCCCCGGCAGGATGGGTTCAGCAGTCTCTCCTAGTCCTGCGAGGGACCCGTGAGAAGAGGAGTTATCTCTCTGACCCCCCAACTCCGGCTGGGCTGGCCCTTGGGTTCCCAACACCCAGCCAGCCAGCCACAAAGATGGTCAGCCCGCCCTTAGGGGACTCCCCTATTCTCACCACTGCCCGCAGATCTTTCGGCTCAGATTGTCTTTCTGCCCGAGGTCTGCTGGTTCCCAATGAGAATGCGTGCTTCTGCTAGACCCATGGTAGACCCATGGACCCTCAGCCCCCAGGCTCCTCTCCCTCAGGGGGTGGAGGAGGAAGCATGTGGTATGAAGGATGAGACCAAGCCAGCTGCCCGTCCTGACCTGGGTGTAGAGGGGCTCATAGATGTCCACTCCATTGTCCTGGCTGTGGGACAGGGTGTCGGAGCCGCGCTTCCAGATGAAGCGGGCAGGTGGGTTGGAGTTGACCGTGCAGCGCAGGAACACGGTCTTCTCCTGGTAGAAGTTGCCTCGCACGTCGCTCACCGTCTGGTGCACAGTCAGCACAGGCTCGTCCAGGTCTACAAGGGAGTCAGGCTCGGTGACCCCAAGAGCGGTGCGGGGCCAGCTACTGGCTGCTCTGGGGGAAAGCGGCGCCACTCTAGGGACAGACACTTCCAGAGAGCCAGATGTTCTTCTCGTTTTGCAAACGGGATCACCAACCTGACAGGCCCAGGAGACTGCACTGGCTGGGTCCCCAGACTCCTTCCGAGCGGTTCCTCCCTAGACTCCAACAAGGGGGGTGTCTATCTTTACACCTCTGATTACACAATAAAATCACAAGGAGTGTTCTTTTCAGAATACAGGTGAGGGCTCATTGATGGGGTCAGAAGTCAGAGTAATGGCTCTCTCTCTAATGGTTATCTCTAATATCCCTCTTAGGCTAATAAGGAGCCTTGGTGAATCTGTTTTTTGGGTAGGTCTTATTTTTGTTTTGGGATTTTTGCAGGGTGGGGGGGTGTAGGGTGACATAGTGATTCCACCCTGGGGTACTAATCACAGCTCCCTTAAAGAGTCACAGTCTCTTGAACCCACAGGGGCAGTTCCATCCTGTCCTATAAGGTTGCCATGGGTCAGAATTGATTTCACAGCAGTTAGCTTGTGGGTTTTTATTCTCTGGGAATTAATTGACTGAGAGAGAAGCACCGGGGAACTTTGGAGGGAGCCGGGGATGCTCTAAATCTTAAACTATACATGTTTACACACATACGTACATACGGAAGAATTATTGACCTATGTACACTTACAATTAGTCCATTTTATTGGACGTAAATTCATATTCACATTTTTTCAGGGGAAAAAACATCCAGTATCAGGGCCCCATCCCAGATCAATTACACCCGATTCTCGAGGAGTGGGGCCCCTAGTGATTTTAAGGTGCAGCCAAAGTTGTGAACTACAGGCTCCAACATTCCAACCATCCACAATGGATCTCGAACACCCGACATCATCCTGCCCTCCTTCCACAGCCCACATTATAGGGAATAAAGTCAAGGTCCTTGGGGGTGGGAGGCTGGAGGGGTCCTAGCCATGCCTGCAGGGCCGTTCCAGCACCTGGTGGGAACCTGGGTGGCTGATGAACTTGGGGTTCCACTTCTCACCACTCTTCCGGTGCCATTTAGGGAGGGCAGGTGGTGTTAAGATAGTGTCCTGTGGCCAACAGCACAACTCCTGAGTCAGGCTAGACGGGCAAGTTAGGGAGAGACGCTCCTGTGGGTAAGGGGGCACCCAAGGGGGGCAGTTGAAGGCTGGGGAATACCCACTGAGCCAGGGACAAGGACTGGGGTGGGGCAAGAGGTTGGGGGACGTGATACTGTATGCAGGTAGTTGGGGAGAGAAGTCTCAGAGAGGCCCTGGGGCAAAAGCGGTATTATGGGACGGTTCCTGGGCCAGAGAAAAGCGGCCTGTGTCCCCTTCGTGGGTCTAGGACTGCCTTGCTCGATGCGCCCTTGCACCGCCGTTTGCGCATCTGTGGAATGGGTATCATCCAACCACGCTGCCCGCCCTGTCGGCCTCACCAGGCGTCTGAAGGTTCCTGAGAGATCCCGGGTGGGATGTGTAAACTGGCTAGTATGGCGTAGGGGCACCTCTCCACCCCCAAGGGAGAAAGTCTCTACTTCCCTGCCTCCCTGGTCCCCAGGTCCCCCAGGCCCACGGCGGGGACTCACACTGCACGTCCACGCGGATGGACTTGATGGCGGGCACGCCCACGCCGTTCTCGGCCTTGCAGTAGTAGCGGCCGCCCTGGGTGCGCGCGATGCGCTCGATGCGCAGCGTCTCGTTGAAGACCGACGTCTCCTGGAACTTGTCCGACGCGCTACCCGCTGTCTTGGTCCAGCGCACCTGGCCGGCAGAGGGCAGGGAGTGAGTGGGGGCCAGCGGGGTGGGGCAGGACGCCCTCGGGTAGAGAGACCTGTGACCATCCTGTCCTTCTGATTCACTGTGACCAGGCTAGGGAACGAACCTAACCCCGCTGCCTCGAGTCAAAGAGTGCCCAGAATTGGGGATCCCAGGAAGGATGCTTTAAACACAGGCCGTACCATGCAGTGTTTAAGAGTATAGGTTTGTGAGCAAGTTCCCTCGCCTCTCCCGCCTCCATTCTGTCACCGGGAAAATGAAAAATGTTAACTCACTCCCTGTGAGTCCCAGTCTGACGGGAAAGTGCCTAAAGCACTCGGTTGGTAACCAAAAGGTCAGCTGTTCTGAGCCACCAGCTGCTCAGAAAGATGGGATTTGCTTTTTAGATGTGCAGTCTTGGGCAGCTTATGGCCGGTCCTACTCTGGCCAGTGGGGTTGCTAGGAGTTCCTGGCAACTCCGAGGCAGAATCGGAATCCATTCAAATTGCATCCGGTTCATTCATTGTTTTAGACCTCCTGGGGAGTCCCAAGGAACCCTGACGGCATTAGGCTATGAACCACAGGGTACACCATTCAAACCCACCAGCTGCAGGTTGAGAGAAATATGAGGCTATCTGTTCCCAGATGGGAGTGGGTTTAGACACCTGTGTTTGTTTGTTTGTTTGTTTGTTTGTTTGTTTGTGGGGAGTCCCTAGGTGGCACTTAGCAACTAGTTGAAAAGTTAGCCATTCAAGTGCACCCCTGGGGTGGGAGGGCAAGGGGTGCGCTCAGAAGAAGGGCTTGCAGACCAGCCTTCATGAGATCACAGCTTCGCAGATGGGTGGCCACAAACCTGAACTGACTTCCCAGCAACGGGGAAGGTTAAATGAGTATATACTTAGCACCTGGAAGTCTAAGATTTCTTTTAAAAGGGGGTGGGAAGAAGAAGAGAAGGTAAAAGGAAGAGGTTTATTATTAGACATACTTGTGAATGGCCTTGGGTTTCTCGGCCACGAAAGGGGTCAGTGTGGTCGGCAGCCTCCAAGATGCACACCCCCAGCCCCCATGATCTTGTCCCCTGGTCTCCTTGTAGTCACAGCCTTCTGTAGTCCCCTCCCACTTGGTGCCTGGGCTAGCCTGCATGGCCAATAGAATTCGGCCGAAAGGATGGTGTATCACTTGCAAAGCTAGGCCATAATGGACTGAGATTTCCAAGCCATGTCCTGTCAAGAGCCGTCCTAGCAAGAGACCCCTCTGGTAGGGAAGGGATGCCTCAGGCCAGCAGCCTGGTGAGTTCGCTGAGAAATTGATTCCCCGCTGACTGCAGAGCCCACTGCTCCCCATGGGCCAGGTTCCTCATCCACTGCCATGACTCTCTCTTCGTTTCCTCACCCCCTGCTCGCCCCCATCCCGTAGAGGTTCCGCCCTCTTCCTGTTTGTTTGGGATGGGAATTCCCTGTCCATTCCGTTCCCTACCCACCCTGACCCAAAAAAGCAGGCCATGAGATGGTCCTTCTCGCCCTCCCTTGTGAGACAGGAGGCTGCGGGAGAAAAACCCTCAGCACTGTGTTCTCCAGATCCAGCACAGTGCGTGGTACACTGCTGTGCTCAGTGAGGTGCTTGTCCCACAAATGAACACAGACGCAGCTGGGAGGCGTTTGGAAGCAGGGTGACAAGGTCTGTTTGAGGGGGGTGAGGAGGCCAGCCTGGTGAGGACAGCAGCGGGAGGTCAGGCAGGGGCCCTGGGGAGGGAGGTCTTCAGGGCCAGCTCTCTAACGGTGGGGAGGGGCTGCAGAAAAGAAATATCAGCTCAAGGTTTTGAGCCTGAATAAGTAGAAAGAACAATGAAACACGAATGGAAATAGAAGACAGGGAGTGGACACACAGACCCAGGCACGGAATGACTCACAAGGAAGGCAGCTTGGCAGACACAGACAGGTGGCCAGTGCAGCCTGAGGGAAAGCTGGCCCAGCCACCTCGCTGGCTGCGGGCGGCTCATCCCCACAGTAGCCATAACACCTGGCACACCGCCACCCGGAAGGCCAAGCAGCAGCGTTTTCCTATCGAAATTAACCTTGGGGACGGAGCAAGGCATGATCACGATTTCAGGTTGAAGGTGTCTTCAGGGGTTTGCTCGTCCATCTGCTTATCCCAAGGCCAAACCGACTAAAATCTGTCTCCAGAATTTCCCAGAAAAGAGGACTTTCCATTTCGGCATCCTCCCTGGGATCCAGTGGCAATCTTTTCCATTGCTGTGCAAGGTCGCCGCATCTCACTAGTCAACGCCACCAGCCCTGCAGCCCACCTCTTTCCCGCTCCTCCCGTCAGCCCTCAGGGATGACCAGCTACGCTTCCTACCCTAAGCACAGCCTCAACTGACCCGTGACCAAACTCATCACGTGTCTGGAGATGCACGCCTTCATTTGCTGTCTAACTGTTTGGGGAGGGGGGTTCACTTTTAGGATGTGGGGCTTGCCCATGGAAAGCCCCCTCCTTGTGTATCAGCGATGTATTTTCCTTGTAACTCCGGAGCCTCCAGGCCAAAGGCAGGTGGGAAGGAAAGACGTGCACTGAGGTACAGAGAACACTGGTGTGCGAGTCAGACTTCACCTCCACCCTGAGCCTCGTGAGGACCCAAAGAGAAAAGGGCCGAGTACCCAAGCGAGTGCGTGGCACATGGTCCTCTCTCAAACGTTGCTGGAAGGTGCGTCTAAGTAGAGGTGGGCTCGACAGAAACGTGGACTGGAGCGGAGCGGAGCACCTGACATTGAACTCCCTCCCACCCCTCACCCCCCAGCTCCTCAGTTGTTTTCAGGTGGCTAAATTCAGGGCCTTTAGCCCTTCCCACAGACTCGGTTTCCCAGTTATTTCTCCAGCCCCAATCTCCTGTCTTGACTTACTGCCTCTCCCACAGCTCTGGGCCCAGGCAGGGGTTAGGAGGGAGGAGATGGGGACAGGTGGACCTGACCAAGGCCGAGGCGGGGCTTACCTGAGGGCGAGGGTGCCCGGTGACCAGGCACTGCAGCATGAGGGTGTCCCCCTCCCGGATGGTGTAGACGCGCTCGCTGATGTTGTCCTCTTTCACCACACATGCCTGGCCCGCGTGCACGATCTGCGCCTGGGCTGGAGCTGGTGGGGGGACACGAAGCAGAAGGCGTCGAGCAGGGGTGCCGGGGTCAGCCCAGATCTCCCAGGCTGCCCCTTCGAGATCTGGCCCCACTGAGCCCAGAAACTCAAATGCCAGGATTTCCAGGATCCACCTGGCAGAACCAGAAGGGCCAAGGTTGCAAGAAGGGACAAATCTCGCTGGTTCCTATGTGCAAGGAGGCTCTGCTCGCTCCACTGACTGGTTATCACTTTATCAGCACGGCCTTAGGGGTCACCCCTGTAATGGACACTCTTGGTGCTCCACTCAAACCCTCATCTCTGGCGGGTCGATGGGTGCATCCCATCTCAGCCGCTAGGACCCCCTTAGCCAACAGGAGCTGCCTTGGCCAACAATGGGAGACCTTGGATGGTGCTAACTCAGATTACCCAGAGACACCTTGGAAGAAAAGTCAGACCTGGAAAACCCCGGGGGGCCCAGTTCTCCTCTGATACACAGGGGGTCCGGCATGGGTTAGGGTTGGCTTGGCGGCAAGTGGTTGTGGGGTCAGAAACGCCTCCGCGTTTACCCCCACCCTCAACAGGCATGCGCACACCAGCTGAGTATTGCTATTATGGGGCCAAAGGCCAGTCCCCTGGCCTCCAGGTGGGACGGCTTTCCGGGGCTGTCCACGCTCCACCGCTCCCCACAGGAGCTGGCTGCTTCTCAGGGCTGCTCATCCTCATACCCTGACTGTTTCTCCCGTGAGCAACTTGCCCACCAGAGTCATGTCTCCCCACATGCCCACCCCAACCGTCTCAGTCTCTTTCACCTTTGAACCCGTCCTTCCCCCAAACCCCACAGGCTCACATTCCCCCCCACCCCCACCCCCAAAGGCCTCTTCGTCCCCATCATTGCTCAGGAAGTTCGAACCCATGGCTCAGAAGGGCACGGCACCTCCCTGGCCCCTCTCGAAGTGCCTAGAGGGGGGCTCTGGCTGGGCTAGTATGAAAACTAGGCTCTGGCTGGGAGCCCCTGTGGGGGAATGACTCAACCTCCAGAGCCCACCCCCACCCCCCACCCCCGATCTCCCAGCCCTACCTTCAGCACCCTCCTACAGGCAAACCAACCCTGGCCCACCATTACTTGGGCTCCACGGGGGCAGGAAGAGCGGTCCACACCAGGCCTGTCTGCTCCGCGGCTGAGGGGAGCAAGGGTGTGAGAACAAACTCTCTGCTCTCAAGGGGCTTCCCCAGGCAGATGACACCTGTACGTCAAGCGTGTAATGTCCTCCAGCACCCACCCCACGACTGGCGTGCCCCCTGAGGGTCTGCACCCCATCCCCAGGGCGACCCCCGAGCGTCAGACCTATGTGTCCCTCCAGACCAGGACTCTTGTTTTTCTGTCCCACCTGGACAAGGTGAGCTTCATCTCGGTGGCCCCAGCACGAGGCCCCCAACCAAGGGGTGCCAGGGCGGATGACGTCACCAGCTAGCCCCAGGGCAAGCGGCAGTGTGCGGGAGCTGCAGAAACTCGAGATCCGAGGAGGGAGACACCAGCACCCATTGAACGAAGGCCCACAGAGGGCGCCCCGAAGAGGACGCTGTGAGAGTCGGTCTCACAGAACAGCACGGGGGTGGGGGGTGTCCAAGATTCTATACGACCTGGGGAGAAACCACGAGGGACCTTTGGGCTCTCGTGTTTTCATCTCTACAATGGAGAGAATGCTGCCAGCCCCAGGGACCCCCAGAGTGGAAGTGACCATGACACAGAATGGATAAAAGGTCCTCCAAGGTGTGATGTGTTCGGCAGACGCCACAGTGTCTCCTCTGCCCCCACGGTGGAGCGCCCCTGCAATGGTGACAGAAGGGTCCTCGGAGGCAGCCGAGCAGCAGGGCAAGGAGCTTGTGGGGCAGTGAACAGGAGGCACGCATACGGCACTGACACAGGGGAGTCTGTGCAAATAGCAGCTGGTTCTGCAAAAAGGGGTCCCTGCCACCCAAAGGAGCAGGTGACCATCCATCTGGCCTGGGCATGGGAGAGGAATGAAGCCAGCCTGGCTGTCAGGTAAATGAGCTGTGTGACCCGGGGAAGTCAGTTCGCCTCCGTTCATGTGTCTCCTGCCCATAGGAGGGGAAGGGATTCGATAACCCTTCGGGTTTCAGGCTTCTCTTTGATCCGTTCACCCTTCCGTGAATGTTGTAAGCCTCCTCTTAGCATCTGCAGACAGGCCCTGAAACGGACATCCCTGCAATGAACATCACCCCCACAAAGAGGATCACCATCTGTGGCCTTGGTCCCCAGGAAATCACATCAGGAAACAAGCCACCAAGAGATGGTGTGCATGCTGGCTTCTGATAAGACCAGGAGGCTGCCAGGACGTCTGCAAGAGGCCTGGGGTGCCTCTCAATGAGGAAGACATCGATTTAACAAGCTCCACAGAAGATAAGCTGTAATCTTGGACACTGTGGCCCGCCTGAAGCAAGGCGGTGTTGTAATGACACAGCTTTGGTGACTGATAAGAAATATTGACAAAGAGCTGGAGCACTGCACTTTCTCGGGGCATGGCCAGCTCGGCCAGGGAAGGTGGGCTGAGCCAGCAGACACCTGACAGGGGCCATCCCCTTGGAGGCTGGGCCGTGAGGAGACCTCGTGGCTGCTGACACCGCTAAGATTATCCGCCACCCTCTGACTGCATGAGCTGTTCAGATTATCCAAGTCCAAGATTGTAGAACCAATTGGGGGAAACGCGGGCAGTAGCTACTAACGTACTGAACAAGCACCCTACAATACAGCCGCTCTGCTTCAGAGGATGGCCAGGCATACCTTGTTTCATTGCATTTTGTTTTATTATGCCTTGAAGACCCAACTTTTTTTATGAATTGATGGCTCATGGCGACCCAGCATCAAACAATTCTATGTACAGTGAACCCTC